CTCTACCCCACCCTGTCCATCTCAGCTCCCACCCCAGCTCTCCGGGTGCCTCACCCCTGTTCCTGGGACACTGGAAGGTCCTGGTTCCTCAGGAAGCCCCTGGAATGGCAGGAGATGACCAGGGAGCTGGGACCGAGGCACCGGCAATGGTGGTGGTGGCACTGACAGGGATGATGGTCATGGATGATGGCCAGGGACAATGGCCACGGATGATGGCCAGGGACAATGGCCAGGGACAATGGCCAGGGATGATGGCCAGGGATGATGCCCAGGGATGATGGCCAGGGACAATGGCCAGGGATGATGGCCACGGATGATGCCCAGGGACGATGCCCAGGGATGATGGCCACGGATGATGGCCACAGATGATGGCCACGGATGATGGCCACGGATGATGGCCACGGATGATGGCCATGGATGATGGCCAGGGATGATGGCCACGGATGATGGCCACGGATGATGGCCATGGATGATGGCCAGGGATGATGGCCAGGGACGATGCCCAGGGAGCTTGGCATGGCATGAGGCACACGGGGGAGCACTGACAAAGGGACCCTATGGGGACAGGAACCCCAGGAGGACCTGAGGGGACATTGCAAAGGGGACCCCAGAGCAATGGGGACGCCATGGGGAATTGCATGGGGCGCCCCATTGCAAAGGGGACCCCATGGAATATTACACCAAGGTCCCCACTCCAAGAGGGATCCGTGGAGCATTGCAAGAGGGTTCCTGCTGCAAAAGGGACCCAATGGGACATTCCACAAGGGACCCCAGTGCAAAGAGGACCCCATGGGACATTCCACAAGGGACCCCAGTGCAAAGAGGACCCCATGGGATGCTCCCTGAGTGACCCCAGTGCCAGAGGGCCCCCCCGAGGGCCCCATGGCTGCGGTGTCACCCCTGGCCGGGCCAGGCAGGAGCCTCCCGGTGGCTCAGGGCTGGGCTCCACAGGCTCACCCCATTTCCTGCCGCACCCTTCCCACACCCCTGCTGGAGATCCCAA